ACACCTTCTCCAAAACCATCGCGCCAGGCTGTCGTCTCGGCTGGGTAACATCGACGCCCGAGATCTGCGAGCGCATCATCGGCGTCAGCGAGGCCACCACCCAGCAGCCATCAGGCTTCGTCCAGTCCGTCGTAGCGGAGAGCATCATGGGTCCGCAACCGGAAGCCGCTTCAATCTTCGCCTCGCGGTCGCGCGCCCAGCAGCGCACTTTCTCCGGATGGAAGACTGAAGGCTGGGTGCGCTGGCTTGCCGGTCTGCGCGGCGAGTACGAGAGACGGATGAACGTGACGTGTGCGCGTCTCGAAGAAAACGCATATCAGCTGAAACAGTCGACGCCTACACGTGATGGCGACGACGACTGGGGAGTCATTACGAAGACACAGCTATACGAATTCGCCTGGCCGCGAGGCGGCATGTTTGTGTGGCTCAAGATCCGTTTCGAGGCCCATCCCTTGTTTGGCGCGAGAGGATCGCAGGGAAATGTGATCAATGGCACTGCGCTCTCGACTGCGCTCATGTTGTTCCTCACGCACAAGCCATACCTTGTCCTAGCAAGTCCCGGCATGATGTTCAGCGCTACGCCACAAATTGCGGCTGAACGGGGCTGGGCCTACTACCGTCTGTGCTTTGCTGCCGAGGCAGACGACAAGATTGCCTCCTGCTCCACGCGCTTCGGCCAGGGCGTGCAGAAATTCTGGCGTATCAAAAAGGTTGCCGAGCTTGAGGCCCTATTGGATGAGGCGGCTGCCTTGGATGTGGAGGAAGCTGAAGATGTGACAAATATGGGCTGGATAGGATGCTAATGCAGACAGTTGGGTAACGGTCAGGCACGATTGGCCAGGCGTCAAATCTATAGGTACCTCCTGTATAGAGGTTGAGTAAACCGCTTGTAACGACATCATGATACTTTTGGCTCGGACACATTCACTCTGGAATATCTCATCACTGCTGTATGCGTTTCGAAATTTATTGATTTCACATGTCATTACGCTTAGAAGAAAGAAACAGTTAGGGCGTGGAATACTCATAATGACAAGTCAATTGATTCATGCGACCCTATGAACCCATTACGCCCATGACAATCACAACCAATGCTTTCTTATCCCATCCCTTTAGACAAGCTGCTCACCAAGCTAGTCTGAGTTTAATCCTCCTTGAGGACGCTGAGGAAAGCCTCGGGAGTCTTCAAGGGCTTGCCAGCCTCCGCCTTTTGCTGACCAAGCTCGTTCTTTACGAACGTAGAGTGGTAAGGGTTGAAGCGCAGCATGATCTGCTTGTTGCGGAGAGGGTTCTTCTGGACACCAGCACGCTTGGTCAACGAGCTGCCCTTGGGGGCGCGTAGCACGCTCTGGATTTCGGAGCTGTTGATCAGACGGCTGAGGTCGGCCTGAGAAACGACGTTGGAAGGTAGGAGGAAGTCCTTCTTGAGGTCGGAGGGGGTGGTGGTGGTGCCGTAGATGTTGTCGAGAGCCTTGAAAGCAGCCGAGGTCCAGACGATGAATCGGCCAAGGTGACCACCGGGGGCCAGCTGGAGAAGGTTCAGGGCGTAGACGGAGCAGGTCTCAACACCGGGCAGGTTGCGGGTTCCCTTGACGAGCTCCTTGCCGTCGACCTCAGGGTCGTAGATGACTAGAGGTCCGCGTCTCTGGCGATGGCGGCGACCACGCATCTTACCCTTACCGGCGCGCAGCTTCTTCGACTTCTTAGCCTTGATGATATCGGCGGAAGCACCAACGGCGGAGAGGATAGAGAAAGCGTTTGCGGTCTTAGCAGCGGCGCCTCCCTCGAAGACGGCCGAATCGATGACTAGGGGAACCTCGGGGACGTTGGAAATTTGGTGGCCACGAGCCAGGAGAAGAGGGGCAACAGCGGAAGCAGCCAGAGCGGAAGCGGTAGCGAATCGCCTGTTTTGCCCTGTTAATTTCCCAACCAACTGCATTGACATATATCCTGTACTTACTTCTGACCCTGGTTGATCTTGATGTGCCACTTGCGCCAGATCTTGGTAGGGGCGAACATGCGACCGGATCGGCACATGTTACCGAAGGCAGCCTGACCAGCACGGTGAGTACCACCACCGGAAACACGGGGGATACGGGCAACAGCGCGACCTGAGCCAAATTGTCAGCAATTCATTCCAAACTACCTTTCTTTCCCCGTGTATTCCATGCGCATATTTCCATGTAGTCAATCCACCTTCATAGAGACATATCCATCCAATTCGCATCGCTTTGGAGGGCAAAAAATAGGGCGACTAACCAGTTCCCCACGACTCGGCAGAGGTCTGGTGACCGGCCTTCTCGCTCACGGAGTACGGCTGGCGCTTGTTCTTGGCCATGCCAGTGTGAACCTGCTGGACGATATCCGGTCGGATAGGCGCCGTGAAGACGGTAGGGATAGGATGGGTAGCTCCCGAAGGAGTACCATCTTTACCGATGATTGTGACAGTAGGTCTCGAAGCCATCGTGAAGTCGCTGGGCTGTGAAGCTGTGGGTTAGTAAAAACTGTCGGATAATGCACAAGGCAAGATCAAGTAGGCCTAAACCCAATGTTATAATTTGGGGGCAGTATGCGTACCTCGACTCGGTGGGCGGATGGCTAGAGATTTTGGGTGATAAATTGTCGAGTCGAAAATTACTGATGAGGTTCCCCAAATTAATTTTCTCTTTGTGGGAGTGGAGGGCTAGTCGGTTCGGCTTGAGGCACCAGCCAGCTGTCTGACAGCCATGAGCTGCCCACTGCCAAGTGTTGACTAGTGCTCATCCTATCGCATTGTGGATTAACTATGGCCAAGAAAGCTAACCAACCAAAATTTTCTACAGTATGTACCGAGAACTACCCGTGGAAAATAGGCTGTAGGCGCGTTTCGGGATGTACTTGTACATGTACGTAAACATCTAGTCTACCCACGATGGTGAAAGCTGCGGAACCACGCAAGTTGGTATCTTCCTGCCCCTCCCCCTCACTGTGCATCGTTTTGTACGTGTAGAAATTGCTACGTACCTCAGAGCTGTTTCATTTAAAGCTCAAGGTAAACTCGAATGCCACATGTCTTCCAGCCGACATATGAATAGCCGCACAACAAGGAGATTTAATGTTGGTTGACGTAATGAATGACCGCGCCCTACGGCACTTGCCGGTGGTATCAAGTTTGGTAAGTCCATCGAGAATGAGGCATAGGGGTTATGTTAGGCGGACAATATAACTTGATATTCCATCACGAAATCCGACATTTCTCATTGGGCAGGCTATAAAAACCGTTTATCGTAATTACTTGTCAACCGGGGTAGAGATTCCCGCCTAGTACTTATACCAGGCGTAGATAAAGATATCTATCATGTCTCTGACCCCTAAAAGGCATGCGCCTTGCATCCGGCAAGCTGAGGCCATGCCGGGAGGCTAGCAGTATGCTTCACAGGTTCAGACTAAAAGCCGTGGACCTTGATTTTCTTCCCATCAAGCTCAAGTCCGTCTTTGGCAGTCAGAAAGTCCTCTGCGCCATGTTAGCTCGTCGGAGTCAATCCACCAGTAGAACCGAACAACGAGGGATACGTACGCATAGCCTTGCGCTGATCGCCTTGCAACTGGATAACCTCGCCCATTTTACTATCAGTCACGACGGTACCATTGCAAGCAAACTTCTTTTTGATGACAGTGAGAATCTTCTTCTGGTCAAACTTCTTGGGTAAACCCTGGACAGTGGTCAAAGTTTTGCGACCATTGCGCTCTATATCGGTCAGCTAAACAAGACGGGGCGAGCTGATAGAAGAGAAAATCCTGGTTGGGTAACAAGGACAGGCGACACTAACGTTGGATTCGGATATGCACGTAATCCTCCTGCTGGCTCTTTACTGTACCGGTGCCTTCATCTGCTTCAGCATCATGGAAGGGATCTAGACATAGGGGCCAATTAGCGGGGCACTGTGGCAAGGTTGTCAACAAAACTCTAGGCGCTGAAGCAACTTGCCAAAGGATTTAAGGTTCTCGATGGACATCTATGGCGGCTTTAACGACAAGCTTGAATTGTTGAGTAGGTAATATTATGGTTTGACTCGATGTAACGTGATTTGGCTCGGTTTGTTATTTTGGAGATGTGACGGTGTGGTTTGGACTGAGGACGTAGTAGGTTAGGTTGTATTGATGTATTAACGTCTGACTTTAGGACTGAGGACGTGGCATTGTTGAACAGTTATTTTATGTACCCAATCTCAGGTGCAGGAGTGCAGGTGCTCTCCGGGGCCTTCCCATTTGCCCCGAGGTTTAACCCTGACTTCAGTACCTTTCTACTTGTACTTTGCAGTAGGAAACATGAGCTCACAAGTAGAAACACATTAATCAATAAGTCTTTCCAAGACATGGATCGCTATGCTCGTGTACGTGTAGATACGAAATCGCTGGATGAAAATAGCACATTCTTGATACCTACTTAGTCAACATCATATTTATCGCGATCGCGCTTGTTGCTATAGCAAATGATGCAGCACAACATGGTAAATAAGTAGCCAGGAGCGTACAATAGGGCAGATATGCCTACATCTACTACATGCACTTTTCTGCGATGCAGCAGTACCCATTGATACTCGCTTGGGATTTTCTCTGGTGATGCCTTGCTTCACGTTTTTTTGATGCTCATCAATTCAGACGAGCCCCAGGGGCCAGGGCTGCCGGGTAGGGAATGCGGGGCGTTCCGGTGCCAACGATACAGAGTGTCCCCGAAACCTTTTATGTGTAAGTAGGTATGTGTGCCGTACCTATTACCTCGCCGTACTCATGGTCTTGGGCATCTTAAAAGCTCTCAGATGTTGTCATGCCAACATCCTCTATTTATTAATATGTCTCTATAGATGGTATATTAGGTACATAACTTAAGATCATAGGTTTGACAGACAAGTTCCTATTATTTACAAAAAACTTCGGTGCCTTCTATAATACAATTGCTAAAAAGTGGGACAAAAGCTACCGGGTACTTTTAACAGCATTGAGCAAAATCTGCCATACAATCCGAATTGGTGTAGTGGCTAACATTTGACGCTCTCATATCGCAAGATGTGCCGTCAAGCCCGGGGTTCGATTCCCCGATTCGGAGTGGAATATTTCTTTTGCAATTTTTGCCCTCATTTACACATACTCATAGCTATCAGCGTAGGCGCAAGTGCGTAGTATTCTACATGTTCATTTTATTTTTATAAGTGTCATTTAAACGGTGGGATATGACAAGGGGCGAGCACTCGCAAAATATATGGTTAGCTTCTAGGAAGCGAACTTCATTTGGCCGTCGCAAGGAAACCGCAAATCACCTAACTTACCTACCCTGGAATGTGATTTCTATTCAAAAGCAGTCGCCACATGGTCTTCTTTGCTACCTACCGCAAATATGCGACCTCGATATCTGTCTGTCTCGTTTAGCACGCTATAAATTTGGATATACCGTATACCTAGAACCAGACTCGATATGGACCTCCCGAAAACCTGCGGGCTGGCCCGTCATAGGTACATGTAGTAGTATATATCACACGATATCCGTCGCATCCCAGACGGATGAATCGTTTAACAGATCTAGACCACCACGCAAGGGCAAAGTCTCGACGAGAAGAGAACATTAACGAGAAACGAAGACATGCGAGCCTCGCCTATGATACCTACCCTGTAATATGATCTACGAGTACCCTAACCGGCTGTATGTACTCGTAACTCCACAAAAGTCGGGCGACACGTCACGTCCTACCTATTTAAAGATGGACTAACCTATCCTATCTAGTTACTCACTCACTCACTCATCGTCGCAGGTAGGTAAATAAGAAAGAGATACATGCAGGATTCAATTTGATAGGCGAATTTGGAGGTTTTGCGTGCCCTTATATATCGCATGTAGGTAGGTAGTCTGAGACAGACAACGTGTTGTCTAGCCCTACAAACACATTATCGTATAGCAGAAACCTTACACACCTCCTCGAGTTAGGTAATACCTACCCCGGTCTGCATCTTGTGACCTTTAGATTACCGTCCCTGATAAGCGCCACCAGCAAGCGAACTTGGAGTAGGTAGGTAATTAACATTTACGACCCAGCTGAAAGAGAGAAAAAAGTCCCTTTCTACTAGGTTAGGTACTTGCAAGGGGGTCGGTCTGGACTGGTGGTACTGGGTAAGGTCGCTTGCGGCTGTTTCCTGCCGAGGACCCTTGAACGAAATCTACGAGTACCAGTAAGTACAAGTGAGGTTTACGTGTAGGTACTTACATATGTATTTAGATCAGACGAACCAGGGTCTTCTAGTCCCTAGTCTTCGGAAGACGGGAACGATCTCGTTTTAAAGGCTCGGTACGTTTCCCATAACCTGAGATCCTAGCCCACGCGGGTAGATCACATTGCCCAGTTCATCATTTCTTCCTTCCGAATTCCGAGTGAGAATGATTGATTGATCATTTGATTGTTTCCTACCTACATATCCAACCTATACAAATACCTAAGTTTTCGTCCCTCCGCACACACACACGTAGCAATAAATGTAAGCAGCACGTAGCATTTCCCGCAAACGCAAACGCAAACGCAAACGCAACGCAACCTAACCTCAGCTTTTGTTGGCATGCATTAGTTTTTCCCTGCTCGGAACCAATCCCAATCCTCGATCAAAATTCACCTCGTATTCATTCAGTATGTAACAGGGGATCTGGATCTACATACCTACATATGTAAAGACTACGCACATACTCGTACATATTATTATATTATTATTATTCGCTCATGAAAATGTTCTGGCCCCCTAATAACACGGCAAGAAGTGGTGCGATATCAGTTTGTGCAACATACTCGTACATGGGATAAAGATAGATAGATGCAGTTGGCTGGCATGTTACATACATACATACATACGTACACCATACTAAGTAAATAAGTAGGTAGTCTTACCCTCGTTCAATCTACCTTTTCATTTCTCTCTGTTTGGCGGGATGTATGTTTTTTTGCCCATAGTTACATCTGGTTGGTTATGGAAACGATAACTGTAATAATTTAATAATATTCACAACTATGCGGTGGGGTATTACCACGCCGCTCTTCTTGTCGGCAGCGTTCCTCACGTTGCCGACAAGCAGCAGCGCAAAACAAGATCCGACATGGCCATCACAGATCGACGAACTAGAAGAGATCATGTACCAAGTAAAGGGATACCGATCGCGACAATTCGGCGGAACGGTTATCCCTTGTTCGAGCGAGGCCGCTGGTCCGGGAAGACATAATGCTGCGGCGTGGTTGAGGGCTGCTTTTCATGGTAATTTACTCATTACCCAATAATCGATCGGCCAAGTTTTTCATATTAACATATATTGAAAAAAAGACATGGCAACCTCCACAATAGCAGGAGGGCCAAGACAAGGCGGAATGGACGGATCGTTACAATACGAGCTGACGAGCTCCGACAACATCGGCCCGGCCTTCAACACCACGTTGAAATTCATGGCAGATTACTACACCAGCAGATCGGGCGTGGCCGACCTCCTCGCTCTGGGGGTGTATTATTCCGTGCGGTCCTGCAGCGGACCCATTGTCCCCATTGCAGCGGGCAGAATCGATGCTAAGGAGGCCGGACCTATCGGGGTTCCGTTGCCGCAGAACACGGCGTTTACTTTCGAGCAGCAGTTTGCGCGTATGGGGTTCAACAAGACGGAGATGATTCAGGCCGTGGCTTGCGGTCATTCCATCGGTGGGGTGCATGAGACCGAGTTCCCGCAGATTGTCCCCGTGGGAAGTACGGAGAACGGTGAGGGACCGACGGATTCGACGGTCGATGTTTTTGATAATAATGTCGTGACGGAGTACGTTGCTGGGAATACGACGAATCCCATGGTTGTTGGACCGTCTATCCAGGCGACGAGGAATTCGGACTTCAAAGTGTTTAATTCGGATGGAAACGTGACGGTCAAGGCGTTGGTGGAGCCCAAAACGTTTAACAACGTCTGTGCGAATATCCTGCGCAAGATGATCGAAGTTGTCCCGGACGGGGTCGTCCTTACCGATCCCATACAGCCGTACGAGGTTAAGCCGGTTAACATGCAACTTACGTTGAACACTGGGGCCACGAGCTTGCAATTGTCGGGACTTATTCGGGTTCGGACTACCGAGTTTGGCACTGATAGTGCTGAAAGTGTGACGCTGACGTACAAGAACCGGGATGGGAAAGATAGCTGTGGCAACAAAGGCTGTGTATATAAGGCAGACCCTCTTGGTGCTACACAGGGGTTCGACGACACGTTTATGGTGAGTCGATACAGGCATTGTACTAGGGAAGGGTCTGTACTTGCTGACATGAAGGCAGTGGTTCCCTATCAATCTGGAGATCCCAGCCTCGACGGGCATCTCCTCCTTCACCTTGAAAGTGAACATGGCTAGCGGGACATCGAAAGCCTATGACAATAACGGCGAGACATACCTTGTGCAGGATGATATTCTCTTGCAGAAACCGCAGAGCTGCCTTCTACAGGGTAAGCTGCAAGTAGTAGCAGCTGTGAGTTCATACGAGTACCTAGGCTCGGTTTTCCAGCTGCTGATTAATATATCGTCTAGGTACGTAACGACCTCGGCAAGCTGCCTGTGAATATGCATCTGTCCTACAAGACGCCAGTGGGAGATCCGAACCGTCCAATTCCAACTTTGCATGACGATACCGTGGAGATGAAAAAGGGCGACTGTGTTGGGTCTTATACTTTCTATACCGCTACATATGACGATCTGGGCGAGCTGGACTATGCGACGAAAATCGATCTGGTCAGCGGGACGGGAGCAACAGCTCGACGAGATGACTTCAAGGCGGCAAGTGATTTGGGAGCAAACTGTATCGCATTCGACGGCCCACCCAAGTCTCAATGTACGGATGGGTCTGATCCCGGTGACGATCCGCCAGAGTCGAGCACGACTACGACCACCACCAGTACACGTACTACGGCAACGAAGACGACCGCTGTGCCGACGGAAACCCTACACCACAGATCCGCCGTGGGCAACTATACGCTTGTTGGTTGCCAGGCTGAGCCGACGGCTGCCGGGACTCGCGCTCTAGGTGGTGCTAGTTTCGCCTATGATGGGATGACCTTGGAAAGCTGCATGAAGAACTGCACAGGGTACTATTATTGGGGTACCGAATACGGGCGTGAATGTGAGTCGTCGGTTCCCCTGAAGATATTACCATGTTCCCAACTTACCCATCTACAGGCTACTGTGGTAACTCGGTAAACCCGAACAGTAAGAACGCCACCCTTACCGAGTGTAATATTGCCTGCTCTGGAGACGAGACGGAATACTGTGGTGCGGGTGACAGAGTTGAACTGTACGCCACTACAGGCACAATCCCAACCCCAACCGGCACACCGGCTCCAAAGCCGACTGTAACGCCCTACCTGCGTATCGGCTGCTACAAAGAGCTCTCGACACGTGCGCTTACGGGCGGTACTTTTCCCAGCGACGACATGACCCTCGAGCTATGCGCGACGAGCTGCGACGGGTTTACTTATTTCGCCACGGAATACGGACGCGAATGTTACTGCGGCAACTTCATCGACTCGCGAAGCAACAAAACCGCCGACACCGAGTGCAACATGCCTTGCGGCGGTGAAGAGACCGAGTACTGCGGCGCGAGCAACAGACTGGAGATGTACAGGCTGATAAACCCACCTACCAGCACCTCGACCACGCCAACACCGACAGTCACGCCAACGCATAAACCGACCGTCTCCAGCTACGCACTCGAGGGCTGCTGGACAGAAGGCAAGGGTGTGCGCGCGCTCGACTCCAAGGCCACCGCAGGAAACAACATCACGCTCGAGTCTTGCGCCGATTTCTGCAAGGAATACCACTATTTCGGGACCGAATTCGGCCGCGAATGCCATTGCGGCGACGCGCTCGCTGCGTCCAGCAACCAGACGGAACTGGCCGAGTGTAATGTGCCCTGTGCCGGCGACGTATCCGAGTACTGCGGCGCCGCCGACAGGTTAGACATCTACTACTCCAACACAACTGCGGGCCCGTCCCAGCCCCTCGTTGTCGGGAATTACTCCTGGTATGGCTGCCAGACCGAGGGCGACGGCGTTCGCGCCCT